GGAGCAAATTCCGCCGCCAGGATTTTGTGAAAGTCCGTTAGCAGGGTTTTGCCTGCCATGTCAGCTGGGTCGTCCGGCTGTTTTGGGCTCTCTGCCTGGGTGTCTGTGGAGGCCTCTGGGTCCGCTTGATGAGAATGGGTTACGGGGGGCAGGGATTCGGCAGGGGCGATTTTGGCCTGCATGGGCCGTTGAAGCATGCCCCCGATATCCCTGTTGTCTGTGGTGTGTTGTGGTCGTTGGGAGCGGCGTCCCATAGCTGGCATTTGTGCCGGTAGGTCTGTCGTGTTAGGGGTTGCCCTGTCTCACACTTGCCTTGCTGCTGTGCCGCTCAGGATATGACAGCGTGGGGTAGGCCCCGGTTTTCTTTCTCCACTTGGGCTGATGGGTGGCCGCGAAGAACGGCATCTACCGCCTCAGGGTGGGTTAATGGGTCTTGTAGACACACCCCTACATTTAAAGGCAAAACACTACACACAAGTAAACCACTTCTTTCAAATGCTGAGTGTAAATAAAAACACACAACAGGTAATTTTAAGTATCCTTGTAAAATGTTAAACTATTTTTGTAGGTGTGCTTGTATGTACGTAGTGGGGAATCGCGATGCAGCCTAAAACATAAACTAATCCCATTCAACCCCCCAATAACGACAGACCACTTAGTATAGATGAAACAGGCCACAGCATTTATTATCAAACTAAATTACTGCATAACACATCCATAACTTTATTTATTCTCTTCTTTTTCTGTAGCCAAAAAGTTAGACATAAATAGGCATAAATAACATATATACATATGACACCACACATAGTGTTATACAGTGACCCAACCATCCTTGCCAACAAACATACAGTGGTTCCTAATCACCACTTCCTCTCACCTCCCCCCTCGTCATAAAAATCATATCTTTCCATTGCCCGCCATCAGCCAAACCTATCCACGCTCGATGGGCACGACACCTCAGGCAGCCTAATGTTAACCGTTTGAAGCAGGGGAGGTTGAGACCTTAAAACTTGTTCATCTGATTCCATATACTTAAACGTAACCCCTCAAACTCAGTTGGCAAGGACATACCCCCGGCTAACTGTGACTAAATATACTAATAGAGCGGTAGGGAAGCTGTTTGCTGGCCCGAATCCCAAGTAACACTGAGGTAAGACCTCCCCCACACTAATTTACACAGAACATAATCCCACCCTTACACTCTTTCCCAACCAATCCCATGCATCTATCCCTACACTCCTACATGTGCCCTTGTCCGCTTAGCTGCGCTATCTCCCCAGGGCCTGTTCCTTAATCCATATTTTGTATAAATTTATGGTCTCTACAGCAGCACAAACATTGAAGAGAAATGTTCTGGGTGTGCCCCCAGTTCCCCTTTTTCCTCATTTATATCCATCAACATAGCTTGCAGTTATAGTTCAATTAATATCCATACAAGTGTCACAATTTTAATAACCATTTTATTATAATGATAATGGACCCTTGGGATTGTTTAAAAAATGATTGGGGACGTGTCTGAGGCCATATATTCTAAAATCCTTACTTTCAAAGATCTACAATTTTGGCCCATGTATTGAGATCCACAATTGCAGAACAATAAAATATTTTTTTACCTTAATAATCTGATGGTTTACCAACCAACCATTTTTTATTAGCAGTATTATCCTTTTCTTTAATACACTAGGATTAAAATATTTGTAAAAATGTTGCTTCTTTAAATTTCATTTTGGGCTTTCTGGTAAAGTTCCTAAAATATGAGCACCCCCAATTATTGATCCAATATTTCCTCAAAATAAAGTCAATTACTGATACTGGTTCTACGCAGGTGCGATGATGTAGGACGTACGCACGACGTGGGTGTGTAAGAGTCGGGAGGGGAAGCGAAGGGGACCTGAGCACGGACCACGCTTTTGAGGCGAGCCTAGACTGAGAGACTG